ACCAAACTTCCCTCTCAGCCCCAAAAAGGAAGAAAAAACTAAACCGCAAAACTCCCCAACCAGCTAACACCCAAAACCTAAATAACCTCACCTTACTCCTAGTATACATGCATAGTCAAAACTCACCATAAGCTAGCATGAAATCCTTCCACAAAGTAGCTTTCAATCTAAAATTAACCCATCTTCCCTTCTTCCTCTTTTACCTCCATCTAAAAGAAGTCACCGAATAAAATAAAAACTAAATCACCAATCACCCGAACCCAATAATGGAAGGACTAAATATTTTTCAGTGGAACGCCAACGGACTCACCTCCCACGGCCATGAACTAAAAACTAAATTTAAACTAAATAAAGGCCCTCACATTGCTTGTATCCAGGAAACCAAATTCTCAAAAAAATCCAAATTCACACTACCTAACTACAACTCAGTTAGAACTGACAGAGCTAAACCAAAAACAAGAGTGAGTGAGTTAAAGCTTTACGTCACATCGGCAATATTTCAGCCATATCGTGACCCCAAAACAAGAAGAGCCGCAGGAGGACTAATCATATTTATCAGGGAAGATATAAATTACGAAGAAATAAAAATAGACACGCCAAACCTAGAAACCAACGGCATTAAAATCACATTATATAACCGAAAAATAAACATCATAAATATATACCACTGGGCGGAACAAAAAGTCCAACCTGAGGATCTAAACCAACTATTCAAAATAAGCGATAAATCTACTATATTCCTAGGAGACTTTAACGCTCACCATCCTACATGGAGCATAGATGATAAAATAGATAATCATGGCAAATTAATTTCCGAATGGATAGAAACAAACGACCTGGTACTCCTAAATAACAACCAACCCACGAGGTACGATAAGATAAACCAAAAAATGTCGGCTATCGACCTAACCATATGCACCGCAGATCTAGCTCAAAGTACTCAATGGGAAGTGCACGACGTCCCGCTAGGTAGTGACCACTTCCCCATAAACATAACCATAGGAAATACAAACGTACCAATCCAAACAGAAAACCAAGAACCAAAATTCCATTGCAATAAAGCTAACTGGGACCAATTCCAAGATATCTGCAACGAAGCTAACTTAAACGAAATAGAAAATAATGATCCAGAAACCTATTGTAGAAACCTAACAGACTATATAATAAACGCAGCCAAAACCTCTATCCCCTTCAAAACACCTAAGACAGGCTAGGCAAACCCACGGTACCATGGTGGAATGAGGAAATAGAACAGACTAGACGAAAACGTAAATCAGCCTTCAATAAAGCAAAACGCGACTACAAACATCTAAACATAGCCCACGAACTAAACCACCAGGTTCAAAAACTAGTCCAACTAGCCAAAAGTAGAGACTGGAAAATATTCTGCGAAGGTATAAATAACCGTACAGATGCCAGAATGGTCTGGCGCAAAATCCACGCCGTTAGAGGCTTAAAACGACATAAAAAAACCCTAACATTAACAACTCAACCAACCCCGCCCAAAAAGCAAATAATCTCGCCAACCACTTTTCGGCCGTTAGCAGTAACACCAACTTCAGCCAAAAATTCCAAGATAAACTTAAAACAAAAAAACAAACCCACAAAAGAACCAAACAATAACAATCTAGAAATAAAGGAGGAGCTCCTCTACGTAATCCAAAACAGGAAAAAGGGCACAGCCCCAGGATTAAACCTAACTTCTTACCAAATAATTAAAAATCTCCCGCTAAAACTACTCCAGGCACTACTCAAACTATACAATCTCAGCTACCTAAACGGACAGGTTTCTACTCCCTGGAAACAGGCCCTAGTCATACAAATCCCTAAACCTAATAAACCAGCTAATCAAGCTAACTCATATAGACCAATATCCCTAACTTCAAACTTATGCAAAGTAATGGAATCAATGGCTAAAAATAGATTACAACATTACCTAACCCAAAATAATATCAACTATTGAACTGCATGGCAAGTATTTATAAAACGACCGGGGGAGGAAATATTCTGGGGGGAGATTTTATTTCGTAGGGTGGGGGAGAGTTTATTTCGAGAGGGGCGGAACTGTACCGGTATAAATTCGCCGGGGGGAGATTTTATTCTGGGGGCGAATATATTTCGTGACACCGGCTGTGTTCAGTCATGTGAACTTCTGATTTGGTATAGCAATTTCTGGATACTCCCCTTTCCGCCATCTTGCTCATGTGGAGTGTCAGGATGGACTGGACGGATCTCATCAGGTCCAGCGAAACGATGCATTGTAACTCGTCGGTCAGCAATAACCATGCGCTGGATAGCCTCCATTTATATATCAATACGTGATATCTTTAGGACGACCAGACCAAGTGTCATCTTCTGCCTCGCCTAAATTCGGCAGCTTATTTCTTAACAGTTGTATTTGAAGGGAGCAATCATCAAGCCTGCGTATCATATTTCCATTTATTTCCTTTGGTAACATGCTTTATTATGGAGGGTTTCTCCACTTCTGTCAAATTCTCGAAAACAGATGCAGTTATCTGACTGTAACTTCTTGTTACGTCTTCAAAGAGATGATATACTTCATACACGTATTCTAAAATCTCATAACAAAACGCAATATCTTGGAGACCACGAACGTTTTCGATTTACTATCGACACAGAACAGTTAAACTGTACAGGGGCACTGATCTAACGCAATTCCCCGGGACTGGTTGTTGCCTTTGTTATTGTTTTTTCCCAGTGAGTACCCGGATGTATAGCAGAAATCTAGACTAGTTCGCGACCTCTGCTGCGCCATTCGTAAGCGCATTAGTCACTGTTATGGGTAGTAATAAGGGCGTATGGTCACATTGATCAACAAAATGAAATACAGTTTTCGAGATAATAAGGAAATGTAGGTATCTTTGTGGGTAGCATCGGTAATGGTGACTAAGTTTTGATAAGTCACTTGCTTGGTAATTTTGCGATTTTCGTTTACACTATTTTGACTTGCAACAAAGTAAATATTTTACCTGAGCATTGGTTTTTTTTATAGTGTGTATATTGTTTTACTGTCAAATGTGTAACAAATTTATTAAACGTCTAAATATTCAGTTATTTTAAAAAGTGACTGAAAAACATTTCCATCTGTATTATTATGATAACGAATTCCAAACATTTTGATGTTTAATGTCATCACCAAGAGACTGAAAATGTTACGTTGAAAAGTACATTTCTATGTTGTTTGGCTTCTAATCCTACATAATAATCTGTTGTGATGTTTGTAGGCCCTTTTGATCGTCTTAATCAATCTGGACAGATTTTTTAGTCAAAATGACTGAAATATTTACACATTTTATAAATTGCCTGAGAGAATCACATTTTACAAATTGACGGTAATATATACACGCTTACAAAGGAAAAGACCTGTGAAAACAACGTCTATCGCGCATTGAAGAATTTCCCAACCAAGACGTAGAGAAACAAGAACGAATCGGTTCAAATGAAGGAAAACAACATGCAAATATCACAATTACAACCTACCAAATTTATGGGTATAAATTTTAGGCAGCTTCCTTGTTCGAGGAATGTATCCGTGAATATCCACACAAAGGAACAATATCCCACTCGTCTGCAGCTGTACAAACAAACATTCGATGTCACGTGTCTCAGTAACAATCAAATATTTTAAAAGATATATATCGTTTCGGGATATTATAACCCGTGTTCGTTTCTCAACTGATTACTTGGATTGTTTCAGGTGTTTTACATAGGTGTCAAGTCTCAATGGTCGGCTGAGAAAGCCCACGTGACAACTATTTTCATTACGTCCACGGTTCCTAAAAAATCCATTGAGTGATAGATAACAATGATCAATCAATCAACGTATTATCAGTTAACCCTTTGAACAAAGTATGTTGTTTTTACATCGGCACTTCACGCCATGATATGAGTGTATTCCCTTTGGTTTAGTAAACCTAGACATGCAAACACTCACTCTTGACATATCCACTGTGCAAGATAACAGTGATTAATCAATCAACGTATTTTCTGTTAATCCTTTGATGACTAGGAACGATCCGTTGATTTACAAAAAAAAGTTAATCAACTGATCATTCATCTCTTGCTGGGCTGCCACGTGCATATTACATAACACACATTTCACCTCACTTCAAACCTGGATTTAGATTGAATAATTACCCCAGACACAATAAATGCCAAATGGGAACCTTTGTCAGGTAATCTAAGTGGTGCTACCACTAATTGTACCTGTAATAAATTCAATAACTGAGCATCAAGTGAATGACGACAAATACACAAGTGTAGGGTTATACGAGAAAACGTGGATGACAACAAGGGAGTAGTAATCGTATTATCGACGCAAGCCGAAATCCGAAAATGCTTTCACTGCATGGATACTTTTTTAGTATAAACTATAACCATCTGGGGTATTTCCAAATGACGACATCCGATGAGCTCCGCTGTTCTTTTTGTCTGTTTGTTTAGGCTGAAGAAATTAATTAACATGCGCCCTTTGTCGAAATCTTTATAGATCACAGTTAACCAATCAGTGTTTATGCAAAAATGCGTAAAACAAATATTGCCTCCAGCCTCCAAGTTTATTTAGCTGTCCTTGCAGACGGTAGCCCAGTCTCTGGTCACGCTCAGTTGCGTTGCGTATCATCCGGGTACTCACGGGGAAAAAAACAATAACAAAGGCAACAACCAGTCCGGGGAATTGCGTTAGATCAGTGCCCCTTTAACTCATTCACCATCGTTGTCGATAATTGTCCAAGTGAACTTAAAACATATTTGTGATTAGAGATCATCAGCAGTACATATGTGAATATTGTTAGTGTATCACAGAAATGAGATACCATACTTAGGATACCAAAACACATTACTCAAAGCCATACACAGAAGTAAAGATAATGTAATTATCGTAAACTCATATAAAAACAACAATTAAAATGGAAACAATGATGCAACATAAGGTGAAATACAAACACATGTAGCCACTAACAGCTTTATTTCATACACAGTGAGCCGAGTGGGTGGACATTGTCTTCAAGATGAACACTGTCTTCCATACAACTCTTTCTGTGAGAACAATCGATGCCGCTGCGGACACTATTTCTACGCTAACGATACAGTTTGTATGATCAGTGCGTCTCCCTCCCCACCTGTCTTGACGTAACATGCTACACCTGGTGTAATTCACTCTTGTAGACAACCAGATTTTAATCATTTCTAATATGTTTTACTATATATGTCCCTGTAATAATCCATAAACGATTTTAGCCTCATGTGACTTGCAGGGAAACTCTCTTTAATCGGCGATTCTGGGTGTAAGTCTTTCTCAGTTAGCGAGTTGGGTTTAACGCGGCTTTATGCATTATCACCCAGTTTCTACTTATTGTGGGAGGAAAACCAACAATGTGCCATCACGTGTACTTGTTCACACCTTGCTCTTGTTTCTCCTTAGAAGTTGGTTTGTCTGCATGGTGCACAGAGGACTTCCAGTGTCGGCCGGAGCACTCTCAATGTGATGCTGGAGCTTGTCTGTGTAAACCGGGCTATGACACACAGTTTGGAACAGGACAGTGTTCAGGTAAGAATCATGTTGACATGCCCCTCTTAGATATATACAATTTCATTTTCGATATATATATATACTCAGCAAAAAAAGAAACGCAAAGGTATTAAAATCGTAAATATCTCGCCGACTGTTGCCGACATGAAAACAAAATTAATACAAAAAATGAATTGGTCATTCCTGCATGGATTGGGATTGATTTGTTTGGAAAGCATGAGGTACTGCAGACATTTGGTGAAAAAATTGAAAAATCACAAAAACAAAACCATGTGAGAGCCTGGCACCGAAACACACCAACATGACATGCACGTGCAACATCTCTTACTTGGCTATAAAAACGTTGGTTTTTCATGCCACCACAATCTTAATGCAAGTGAATGGCGAAAACATGCCACGACTGAAGCCCAATACCAGGACTGAGCTGGATATCAGCCCAGACAGTGTGGAACCGTTTAAGTGCTGAAGGTATTCACGCTACACATCTAGATTTGATGGACCTACATCGTCGGCTGGTACGTCAATGGTGTCAAGGTCACAGAGTATGGCTACAACTGCAATTAAGTCACGTTTTATGCCTTGCCGTGCAGACGTCGTGTTTACTGGTATCATGGGTAACGTTATGCATGAAACTGCATACAGGGAGAGGACAGATTTGGTGATGGTAGTGTAATGATGTGGGCAGCCATCTCCTACACTGGTAGAACGGACCTAGTGCAAGTTCTGGGGAATTTAAAGGCACAATGTTACATGGATGAGATTCTTCAGCCACACATGCTTCCAATTATGTAACAACCGAACGTCATTTTCAAATAAGACCTCACGCAGCAAGACTGACAACATACTTTTTCAGGAATCACAACATCCACCCAATGAAACATTTATGGGATACCAGTCAGTTTTGGACTTGAATGGTGGCCATACAAAATACTGAGAACAGATGACCTTCACCTTGAAAACCTACTGTTCTATGTGAACCTGGGTCAATGACAATAATGTATGTCAATTTTGAACAATCGATTACCATCTGTTGATTATTTATATGATATATAAAATATACATCTAAACTCATCTGTGTGGTTTTTGTTTGCAGAGTAATATATCAAAGTTTGTTCAATACAATAACACAAATGTTGAGATTAAATTTCCTTCACCAAGTTTCCCTTCTTCAAGTTTCTGGTGGGTTGTTTTAAAAGCTCATCAATGAAAAGCCTTTTGAAACCATATAAACCTTGAATTTCATAATCATGGTTACAGATTACCTGATCCAGTTGTTTTTATTGCAATGATCTCAATGATGATAAATCATATATTTTTTCAGCATGTGCAACACTGACAAATCCTATCTTTCTACTCTTCCTGATGCCTGTCATCTCTATAAGGTGTGACTACAGATAGAACATATCAGGCCACCACATCCTCCTGATCATCTGTCATCTGTGGAATACGACTATAACTAGAACACATCACAGCTACCTTCTCCTGATGCCCGTCTTCCTGTCATCTGTGGAATACGACTATAACTAGAACACATCACAGCTACCTTCTCCTGATGCCCGTCTTCCTGTCATCTGTGGAATATGACTACATCTAGAACACATCACAGCTACCTTCTCCTGATGCCCGTCTTCCTGTCATCTGTGGAATATGACTACATCTAGAACACATCACAGCTACCTTCTCCTGATGCCCGTCTTCCTGTCATCTGTGGAATATGACTACATCTAGAACACATCACAGCTACCTTCTCCTGATGCCCGTCTTCCTGTCATCTGTGGAATACGACTATAACTAGAACACATCACAGCTACCTTCTCCTGATGCCCGTCTTCCTGTCATCTGTGGAATATGACTACATCTAGAACACATCACAGCTACCTTCTCCTGATGCCCGTCTTCCTGTCATCTGTGGAATATGACTACATCTAGAACACATCACAGCTACCTTCTCCTGATGCCCGTCTTCCTGTCATCTGTGGAATACGACTATAACTAGAACACATCACAGCTACCTTCTCCTGATGCCCGTCTTCCTGTCATCTGTGGAATATGACTACATCTAGAACACAACACAGCTACCTTCTCCTGATGCCCGTCTTCCTGTCATCTGTGGAATATGACTACATCAAGAAACCATCGCAGCTACCTTCTCCTGATGTCTGTTCATGCAGTGCAATAATGCACCGACTCTCCTGTGATGTTGTGATGTGTTTGCCATAGTGATACTTGTGTCAGGCATACAAGGAAGAGAATCAAACTATTTGCCAGTATTGTCACCTAAAAGCGGATGTTATTCTTCTAAATTGAAACTATTCCTGAAGAAAATCTTTTTATTTTTTTGTTAGAAAACAAGTAAATCTCAGCAGCATTTCAGCTGAATATGTCAAATTGTGTCATATGAAAAAGAGCACTGCAATAAATACACTCTTCATGAACATGAACAAAGGCAATTATTGAAATAATACAAGTACACCAAATAAGTCAGTTCGCTTACACTCCTGTGGAAGATAATCAACATTTTTAACTACAAGAAGACACTTCACAATTGATTCAACATAAACTGAATTCTCTCCCATGCTTTTTTATTCATAAACTTCACTGAAATTAACTCCCTTTGCCTTCCAAGGCATTTTGCATATTTACAGAGTCGGAAAATAAAGGTCGTGTTCGATGTCATCTTAAAGATACAAAATGTCCCACCTCCAACCTGACCTAGGAATGTGTGGCATATGGCTATGAATCCTGCCAATGTGCTAACCAGACAGTGCCACTCTGCCACATGTCCAAAGCTGTAGGAAGCACTTGCACACACTGCAAGTATGTTTAAGTGGTGTTCATAATAACTGTATTTAACAATGCCAGAAGTAAATATACAGCTAATGAACTAGCCCTCACTCACTCACTGTGCTGCAGCACCGTCAGACACATGATGTGTCGTCTTAATTACATCTAGAATATCATTCCTATCTCTAAATACTTCAAATAAACAGTAAAAAATTTATCCAAATATCACTGTACTGTTATTGTCCGTTATCTGCTGGTCTTTGTAGGGCCATGAAACAGCCAATAATGAAAAGCTTGTATTAAATCTGAACATGCCTTACCAAAGTACACAGAGGTTATTCTTATCACTTGCATATCACACTTACTACAGTATAAACACATTCCTTGAACATCATCTAATTTCTACACCCAACAATAGCACAGCCTCTCTTTCAATCTTGCTATGTATGACGTTGACCTCTTCCTGCGTCAAGGTTTTTTCCATATGCCGGTAGATGATACGGTAGCAGTGACTCTGTCGTTGTTTCTTTGGATGAAGGAATTCATCCACAAGGTTGACCTGCTCCACAAGGTCACCACCAACTGAGCGCACAAGGTCATAGAAATCATTTGGTGTAAAGCTGTCAGGAACCCAGAATGAAATGTCATTTGTACACTGTGGATACTGGCTGACTGGCTGGAATCAGACAAAAGTGATAGGTCTAGAAGTAGTGATGTACACAAAAAGCTCCAGCAATCACAATCAACCTTTTGTTGAAGTGTCAAGATCAGATATGTATTTCATAAGTTTTTTATTTGATATGGAAAACTAAATTCTCAAATTTTGTCATTTTCCCTACAACAAAGACATGGTAATAGTGATCAGAAATAGGAATCTGTGTCTTCATGAAACATAAAACGCATGACAACACAGAGTCCATGTCCAACAACCAAGCAGTGCAGTGTGAGCAGGACCTTAACCTAGTGTCATGTTCACTACACAGTGACACTGATGGTGTTTGGGGAGCAGACACACACTAACTCACATCCGGATTCACATTCTGATTCATGCCGGTGGCTGAGCATGCATACACGGAAGATTTTTAGAATGAACACACTTTCACTTCAGCCATGAAAAACAAAATAGAAATTCAACCTTGCACCTTCAAAATGATAAAAAAAAAATTCAATCTAATTATGAAATGCAAAATCAGTACAAACAATTACAAAAGTTGCTGTCATGGTGAGTAGTATTGGTAATGGTGATTCTGGACCACTTCCACTGGAGCCAGATTTATATACCTATACTGCTACTCCAGGGGAATATTTTATGCAAAAATGATGATGCGATTCAACGATCGTCATGAGACTAAACTAAATTGTAATGAAAATATTCTCTATTATTTTTACTCATACGCATACCATTATTTTGAACAAAGTGATATTCAACAGTTTTACTAAGTTCTTCGTTCATTTTGCTAGGAGACCAGACTATATATTCTTTTTCGAAATTGGAAAGAATCAATTGATGACTGTATTTGGTTGGTTTGACATCACTGATATAATATATACCCTGTGGTAATTCTCGCCATTTGATTGGCTTGTAATGCTCCATTATTATATACTTATGTAAGCATTCGTCTAAATTATTGTATTTTTATGTGGTGTGATCCAATGATAGGAAACAATATATTTTTAATCTCCAACCAGTTCTTTGGTTTTAGGCATGGAATAATTGACGCGCTTGTTGTCGCCCCTGTTCTATGAACTATTTTTATCATCTTCGATAATACCACTGATATTACGAGAATTGGATCGAATCTCCTGCTTCGTTGCATTGTATTTGGTGAGTTCTGATAATACTAAACAAAACTCCTCCTCGGATATCTTACAATCAGCCAGTGCTGTTGAAATATGATCCTCAATGCTGTTCAACTTTGCTTTGGCGAGTATCCGAATATTATCATGTTTTAATGCTTTATTTTGCAACTTACGAGAAATAAATTTTATCGCTATTCCTGCCAGTCCTGAGACTCCGGCGGCTACTTCCATACCAAGTACGATAGGCGCGGCGATTATAGTTGATAGTAAACCAACACCGGCTACACCGAGTCCCATGCCAGCTGTTACAAGCGCAGTGTCAACACAGTCGAGAGCATTCACGGCTCTGCGATACTTTTTATACAATCCGACTCTCAACTCCCTCTCCTTCTCTATTCAATGTTTTATGTCGCTTATTTGATGTAATCGAAATCCATCAACAGTATCCATCTTTTCCGATGCTTCATAGAGCACCGGATATAAACTCATAACATATATTATTATGTCATATAATAATCTTTAATTGATCTTGCTTTAATGTTTTGAGAGTATACATCAACCTTATTAAATGTATATTATATGGCATAAATATCTTAGAAAGAGAAATGCTATCACCTTTATTAGCTTGGACCCCCTCAAAGGTTGCAACGGGTGATACTCCCATATAAATAATACTACAACGTTGACGCTCGTGTTTCTTAAGCCATTTAATTGATAGACCTGGTAATATTTCGAACGCATCTCTTCTGGTGCATCTCCAAACAAGACTTCAATAATAAGTGTAGAAAGATCAGGTATAGCATTCAAGTTATCTTTTATATCATTGAATTCAGTAACCAAATTTAAACTAACATTTTTTTAATGCTGGACGACTCAATAACATGACCTGGGTTTTCTGGCAGGGGAGCGACTAACACACTCTTTCGTTTTGAGGGGATATAAGCCCTGAGTACGATCCCACTATTTATTATCTTAGTTATCCCTTACCCATCATCACATATGGTGGAACAATGACGATATTCAGTAGCCACTCGATTTTTGCTTCGACCATAGTCCATTTATTATCATCATTGCGAGTAAGATTGTATGAAGTGTTTTCATTGAGTCTACTAACTTCGACATCACTTAAATCTCCTAGATTAGCTGTGAATACAACTTCTTTCTGCTTGTATACATTATCTTGTAAGTGTAAAGCGTATAACTTGCCATCGGTACCGGGTTTAACGAATCCTTCTGTGTCTCCAAGATCGGAAAGCGCAATTGTATTACATTGTCTAAGGTTATGCGCTCCAGGGCCTGATGAATCAACCATTATTTATAATATGGAGTGTTACACTCAAGTATCCTATATGTACAGGTTGATGTTTTACATATAATACAGACATATTCCAGCAATATCACGGCGGGGGACACCAGAAATGGGCTTCACACATTGTACCCATGTCGGGAATCGAACCCAGGTCTTCGGCGTGACGAGCGAACGCTTTAACCACTAGGCTACCCGACCGCCCCTGTAATGATGAGAAAGATTCCGTTCTACCGCTATTGTATTTTTCATCTTTGACTGGAATAGCTCTTAGCAGAGTTGAAGGACTTTCGGGTTGAATATTATCCGTGGTACTGATCTGATCAAGATGGAAGCACAACTCTTTGTAGGGAACTAAATCGGGTAATTTAACTCCATGCAATGTTGTGTTGGGTGGTATTAATATTACTCCTCTTCTTACAAATCCAAGTGAAGCTACTAAGCCCCATTCAAAAAGTAAATGCTTTTCTCCAGTGTTTAAAATCAGCATCCCATTTGACTCATTTTGTGTGAGACAAGCTCCCAAAGGCTCAAAAATTTCATCATTGAGTGAGCATACGCTGTAATACGCATCAGATATAGTGTGATGTTTTCTATTTATTAATATTTTATTATTATCTCTCGCATCACTTATATTGGTCCACCACAGGTAATACGTTACATCGCATAGAGTGACTTCAAGTTGCCCAGCTGAGTTATCGATAGTATGAAGCAGTTGAATAGACTGGCCATTTGTTATTCCTGGGAGTGTAACATACATATTAAATATACAAAGATACTATATCATAACTTAAATATGAAATCAACTTAAATTCAGTCGATTTTAGTAAGAGCCTCTGTTTTTTTGTTCATTTCCCTGATATCTTTGAAAAATACAGGGTCACGGCAACTAGCGATAAAATGGTGCATGATTGGTTCCACAATCCAATGCAATTTTGGCAGAACCAGTTAAACTTTGCCGTATGGTGTGCCACAACAGGATGTGGTGTATCTCTTTATGCCCCAGGATCTGAATTAATAAGTCTGATTTATTATTTCACGTGTACTATCAGATTAGACGTATTCTTACAGAAATTAGTGCACCATTATCGCAGGATCGAGCATGGAATAATCCGTACAATAGGTTCGCCTATGAGCGTATTTGTCAGGAATTTGATATTTCTATGAGTAAAGAATGGCATATTAAAGGACTTAACAATGGTCTAGGTGTTCCTTTTAGTGGACAAAAAACTGTTAAAGAAGAAAGTGATGATTAAGTTAAAAAAACTCATCAACCATTTGATCTATTTAGGTTGTTACAGAAAAACAATCTTTTTGTAAGATTGCATAATCTTAATCATGGCTGGGAACTTTCGTGTAACGATTGGAGAGGAGATCTTATGAGTTTTAAGAGTGGTTTAGCTTATATTGTTACAAAATTTGTGCAACTAAACGATACAGCAAACGCTTGGAATGAATTTCTTAATGATAAAACAGAAAATAATTTTACTAACCCAGGAGTTGTAAGAGTTAATGAATCAATAAGAACTTATGTATGGGCAATTCTTGGTGCACAGTCACAAACACGAACAGGAATAATTGGTTCTGGGGCGGCGCTCGATACGCAAACGTAGAGGATGCTATTAATTCACCAGTTGACATACCATCGTCAATAAAACGTTATCAAGATGTATTACAGAACGCTCAATCCAAAGTAGACTACGTTAATGGGGCAGGACTATACATGTCTCCGAGTAATATGGAACTTAAGATCGGTCAAGTGATAGGCTATAGTAATAAAATTGTTATTGCTACCGATAAACAAAAAACAGGTATAAATTCAGATATTAAAACCGAATTAATAACACAAACAAACACAGGCGAAATGGGAATAGTCAAGCCACAGACACCACATGTTTCACAGCCATCTACTGACACACAACCACAAGTGCCTACACATATTGCCGAAAAAAATCAACAACATATCGATGAAAAAACAGCACTTATAGTAGGTGGAATCGCGGCTGGTTTACTCATGATTTGGATAAATAGTCTTTAACGGATAAGTACAACAGCCCGGCAATTGCTACGATCAGTGCCCACAAGTTTTAACTAAGCCAAGTGGCGGTCTTAGCTAATAAATTCAAGAGCCAGGAAACAATACTTCCTATTATACCGGGAAGTGCAGACGCGGCTTTCCCAGTGCTTCTCCTAATGCTTTTAAATGCTTTTTTATCCACTCTTTCACACCATCCCTATCACTAGGTGGTGTGCCACCTCCTGTACCACCACCACTGGTTAACGTGAGAGTCAAAGTCGATATAATAAATCCCATTGCGGTAAAAATACTGGCAATGGTTATCCCCTGTTCTCTGAACAATGTTTTAATTTCATCGGCCAGTGTAGTATCTTTGTTGAATTTCTTTCTATAGTTCCTCAAATTCGATTGATTTGTGAATGAAGTGCCTTTCTATTACTCAAAGCCGCTTCGAGGCAGGCCAATCTTTCGTCTTCTAAGTTACGCAGTCTTTCAGCAACGCGGCGTCTTCTGAATTCATCACCTGCCTGTTCAAGTTTTGTTTTCTCATAAG